CAACAAATATTCATTGAATATACAGATGCTTTACAATGCCTCTCTTTTCATAATGGGAATCAATTATAATACATTTTGTCAAAATTTGAATATACTTTTGGGCTGGGCGCGGTGGCTCACACCTGTAATCCTAGCTCTCTGGGAGGCCGAGGCAGGCGGATTGTTTGAGCTCAGGAGTTCGAAACCAGCCTGAGCAAGAGCGAGACCCTGTCTCTACTAAAAATAGAAAGAAATTAATCGGACAACTAAAAATACATAGAAAAAATTAGCCGGGCATGGTGGCGCATGCCTGTAGTCCCAGCTACTTGGGAGGCTGAGGCAGAAGGATTGCTTGAGCCCAGGAGTTTGAGGTTGCTGTGAGCTAGGATGACGCCATGGCACTCTAGCCCGGGCAACACAGTGAGACTCTGTCTCAAAAAAAAAAAAAATTTAATATGCTTTAATGAAAGTATCCAGAATCATAAGGATGTTTTCTGGATATCAGTGAATTTCTTACCTTTTAGAAAAACAAAATAAAGAAAAGGGACATAATTTTTAGAAAATATGCTACTAAAAAGTATACACTGTGTCTTGAGAATGTCAAAATGTGGGTGCTCTACATTGAAAACTATGGACAAATTATATAGGCTAGATGTCAACCTATAAATATTCACTTGAAAACTAGGCATCTTACATACGCATCATAACACGGGTCTTTGCTTGTTAATCAGGTCCTGTCTTCTGACTCCTTGGGCTCCAGATTCCTACATCCAACTCCTATTTTACTTCTTCACCTGAACACCCAGTTAACACATCAAACTCAACAGTTCCATAGAAAATTTAATTTTCATTCCTCAAACCTCAGTTTTCTTTGTCTCAGCAAATGGTTCCTAATTTACCTGACACTTGAACCCAAACCTCAGACTCGTCCTTGATTCTACCCACTCCTTCACTCCCTATCCCCAATCTGACAGTTTCGTGGGCTTTCCTTCAAAATAGGTGCCAAAGTGGTATAATTGTTTCCAGTTCTTCCTTCATTTTTGTCAGATCCTCTGAGGGGAATAAAATCCAAATTTTTCCTCCAAGGTCTACGGAGACCCTAAGACCTGGGCAACGGGTGGCCTGGCTGCGCCCCCCTTTCTTCGAACACCCAGGCCGTGTCCTCTGTGGGCCTCCCTTTCCGTGTCTCCTGTCCCGACTGCAGCCCCCGCTCTCCTGCATCCGGACCCCACTTGGCATGTCAGGTCCTCAGCTCGCAGGTTGCCACTGCCGGGAAGTCCTCCTTGACCACTCGATCCAATCAGCAAGGCCCCACTCCCACTTCCCATCGTTCTCCACCGCCTCGTCCTGTTTTGTTTCTTCATAATATTTGTAATTGTCTGTGATTACTTTTCTTCATGTGTTTGCTGGTTTATTTTCTCCCCGCCCCAACGAGCATAAGCTCTGTGAGAAAAGCGATCTGGCTTTGTCCTGCAAGCTGCTGCGCGCCTTGATCTGCACCGCGACCGGAATGAACGAGCTGGGACAGATGGCAGCCTATCCCCAGAACATTCCCGGGTGCGGCTGCTGGCGGCTTTGGGGCAGTTCTCGTATTTAAATAAGATGAATGCTGCAGCAGGACTCCCCCAGAGGACCACCGGCGGCTAGAGCTCTGCCACATTCCTCCTGATCAACATTAAAGACAGTGTTAACATTAGGAACGTACAGCACCAGATCCAATCAGAGATTGTGCAATGGCGCTTCAGTGACATGGAAAATTTAGAAGATGGAAAGTGGGGAAGAGCTGCTTTTCTAGTCTCAGGGAAGAGAAGAACTATTCCACCTCTCTGTGATGAAAAGCAATCAGTCTCTCTGGCCTTTTTAAGGATAGTGCTGCTGCCAGCAGTGATAAAGAGGCTCATCCAATGCTTATGCCAAAGGAACCTTTGCAACTGGAGTTTTGGAAAAGAAGCAGGGGAGGAAGGATTTGAGCGATGGCAAGGGATAAGTGCTTCTGGCCAAGGAAAGCCAACTCTAGGGAGTTTTATGCAGCTACCTATAAACTCTCGATTCAGACTATAACTTTCACCTGCAGGTAAATCTCCTTTGGAATATATACTACTACTTATCCTGCAGTTGACAACAAATCTGAACTTATTTGCAGAAAATGTGTTTTTGCTTTTTCTAAAATTCAAATTAAGGATGACTTTTAAATAAATTTCTGTGGGGCTTCACGTCATAGCTTACGAGACCTTCAACTGCAGTTCTTTGGAGGTGAGGACTGTACCACTTGTTCACACTCTGGCACTGCCGTGCTGGCTGCGTGGCAGCCCCCACCCACCCCTCCTTCCAGGGGAAGGTCATAGAAAGGAATATTGGACAGCAAGACCTCCTTGAAGGGATAAGATGTCATAACAGAATGACTTTCTTCTTTTCCTAATTTTTCATGCCAAAAACCGCTTGTACTCATTTTGTGTGAAGTCAACAAAAGGGGATTAGGTAGTACAATGCTTCTCTGCCTTAAAAAAAAATTAAGCTTTCATTTGGGTAAAGCTATATTTATTTCCCTCTCTCTTCCTCAATTTGCATTCACATAAGCATTTGGAGATTATTTCCTAAACATCATCTTTTCTTCAAAGATATTTAGTTAAAAATTAAAATTTAAAAT